GTCTACAGCAACCCCAACCCTAAACCTACCCTTACAGTAATGCAGATACATAAAATATTGTTGTTCCTCATGAGAAAAAGGATGCAATATTAATGTGCGCATGCGCAGTAAACCCTGGTAGGACAATTTGACGGGTAGGATAAAATGTCAGCATCGGCACTGGTATAACCAACCCATCCTCAGATATTACTATTTTACAAGGTGCAGTTAGCAGCCAGTGTCAACTTTTTCTGAAATCCTATTGGTCAAATGCTTTCCATTTGGGTAGTTAACGTGACATCATGGACAATCGCGATTAAAATTAATGTGTTGAATTTATAGCTATAATTTATAGGAAACATAACTTAAAAAAAATAATGAAAGATTTCCAAAAATCATTGTATTTAAAAGAGTTTGGCTATGTAGCTATATGTACAGAAGTCTGTGCCATGTGCAATCTTGCCTTTAATGTTTTTGGTTGTTTGTTTGTTTGTTTTTAAAGCCAAATTACGGCCAAGTCTGAATACGTGTGTTTGAGGCACATTTAATGAAAATGTTCTCAATGCTCTCAAACACAACGCATATCAGTTTTTTGGGGGATTTCAAGTGGCTTTGGTTACACATGAAACGATTCGGTATAAATAAGTCAAAATTGCATCGTTGCACAAAAAATGAAGTCCTGTTTTAGAGCATTTCAAAGTAATCATGTGATTACTGCTCAAGTGAAATCAGCTATTATGACACAATACTTGATTACTTTAAACAATCTGTTACATCTATTTAAAGTATTTAGTCCTTGAAATTGGGTAGGAATTGTATATTCGTTTAAAAACTGCATGCAAAAATAAAACTTGGACCTGCTTTGAATCTATACTAACTACTAAATCCAACAAGTTACACATTCCAGTTCACTAGAGGGCAGACTTACACAGTGTTAAGTAGGCCTACTTCATCATTACCTACTTAGTCTTTTTAAAAAAAGGTATTTTTGTGACTGAGTTATAGGAAGACTTGTTTAGTCTATTACAATGTGAACAGCAGGGTTTATTTTTGCATTTGTGCTTCCCAAGAGGAAGAACAACATTGCCTCTTCAGTCACCAGTTATTCCCCAGGCTCGTGGGGAGTCATGACATCTTTGAGTTCAGTTTTTGTTGTCGCTTTGTTCTCTAGTCCCTCCCCTCAGCAGGGTTCTTATACAAAATATTATTCCTTATGAATAAGACACTGAAGCTCAGTGGCCAGACCGGAGAGACTCTCACTGTAACAATAGATGGGGAGACGGAATCTGTCCCTTGTTGCGTACTTCCTCCATCAAACAGTCCCACCCAGAAGAAAAGGGAAAAAAAACAGTAGGGGAACTTTTACTTAACATGTTTTAATTATGCACTTATTCCTTTAATGCATCATTTGTCTTTAAATGCTTTTATGCAACCTGCCCCTTAATCGGATATAATTTATAAACTGAATTTATACATTTACTGTAAGTGTAAGATGTAAATTACACTCTTACTGTAAATACAGTATATTTTCATTCTAGTTGTGCCAGACAATTATACTCCTTCAAATCAAAATAATCAGATTTTTATGTCTTTTGTGGGATGATAGGCTATGTATCACTTTTCCAGTCTTCCCAGTGGACTTTTAGTTTGTAAAATAAAAAATGGTGACCAAAACATCAAACGTGTATCTGAAACCTTGCTAAAAATTTTTTACATTATTTAATTATTTGACTTTGTAACCCATTTACTAGTTTATTTTACTCAGAATGACTCACACTGCATTCAAGTTACATTTGATCATGCATTCCTTCGGGAACTGAACCCCTGATCTTGGGTTTGTATATTGACATATACATACTGTGTGTTCTAGTTATAGTTTGTTATATAGTTTGGCAGATCTGCACTTTTGGTGCATGGTGCAGTACATTTTTACTCTTCTAATATGATATTTACTGGAATCCTATATTCAAAAGGATTAATGATTTTGACCCTAATCCAAATCCTTTAGTTTAAAGTCCCAACACAAGAAGCACTTTCATTTAGACTTACTACTGGGCCATTGCAGCTGATCCAGGCCACCAAGATAGATATTCAAAGTTGTGACAGAAATGGGACTTCTGCCCATTGCACAGGGGCTCCAAACGAATGCTTTGTAAAGAGCTCATTATCTGTTTGACAGATTTCTAAGGGCAGACAGGACATGTCTCTAATTGGACCGCATGAAAAAGAGGGTCCAGCACTACTCATTGAGGAACACAAGGCTCCTCACCAATACAGTTGGAATGTGCCTCTCCATTAGTCTGAGTCACATTGTTCCATCATTGTTAGTGTAAAAGTTTCAATTTAATCCACAAGAAGGTGCTCTTTCATTCAGTGCCATGAGCCTCAATGACAGTGTCACAACAGATAATGAAAATGACCGAGATGAGGACAAAGAGATATGGTGATGTGGATGCTCGCTGGATCAGATTGGTCAAGCTTTGCTCAGACAATGGCTGTCTTCGTTTGAGCTTTGTGAACTGGCTGACCCAAAACCTGTGCTTGTGTCTACCCATGTCAGATTCACAATGTTTCAAAGGGCTCTTTGAAACTGAAATATCATCTGTATTTCAATAAACATTTGAGTTGCAAGACCTTACCATACGAAAATAAACACATTCTTAACCCTGGGTTAACAGAATGCTATGTTATCTTTTTCAGTGTTTCACACTTATTTTCTTTTAATTAGAAATTAAGTTTTGAGGTTTCACACTTCAAAAGCTGCAATGTTTATGCTCTTATTGGCATATTTGCAGTGTCAGCATCATTGATTGGATGAACTTAGCATGTGACCTGATTAAATTATAGCTTGCATTGCTATACAGTATATTCATTTATGGTATCACAATGTTGCTGAATAGACTTTTTGGACCATAACGGTTTCTTTGGTTACTTTGTCACTCCAATTAACAGGTATTCTGTCAGTGTTTGACAATTCCCTCAAATGCTGAAATTAATATATTGCATGAAAATTTCTAAAAAAGCAAAAAATGCGCCTGAAAGTCCATACGCAAAAGTTTCAAAACCCAGGCAAGTCTAACCCACTTTTAAAATCACAAGTATGGAACACAGGGTTTAAAAACAGATTATCCATGGTTAAGCATAACATGAAAAGCACTACAAAGTCCCTTAAATCCAATGTAGCCTGTTGTTTTCTAGTGTTTTAAAGCCACTCAAACATGAAACAGCCATGTGATCAGACAACGCTACTGGGATTGTTGTGCTCAGGTGAAAAAATCATGCAAATGAACACTTATAAAGCTGAGACGGAGTTGAATTTCCAGTCATTCGAAAGTTAGTCAGAGAGAGTGATGCATCCATGTTTAAGCTCAAGAGGTCACATGACCTGAAGATTACAGTATCATGTCCTTAAACTCATCCTTCACAGCAAAATGTCTTGGCAACCATTAACACTACACTAATTGTAACTGTAATTGTTACCTTAAGACATTAATTCTACCTGATCTGACCTTCTAAAAATGACTTTTGTTGGTGTAATCTAGTCTGGTTGATTTAGTCATAATAATAGTATTGTTTTGACTTAATTCAGATATAAATGTTGATGATTATATAAACCAGTTCATTCAGATGTTACCACATGACTCATTTTTAGGTTAAATGACAACATTGTTCTTTTTATTATAAAATGATAGTGTATTACTTTTCAATTCAAACAACATTTAATATGACACAGGTGCAGTCCCATTTTGGTAAATGATCAGCTTTAAGCTATTTTGAAGATTTTAGTATTTGACAACTGCACTTCACATTTATGTAGAATGAATGACCTTTTATTTCATCATGCTCAGTTTCACTGCTGTCAAGCAAGAGGTGCTGGCAATCATAGCCATGCAAACAATAATGCTTTCATTGATAAGTCTCCCATTCAGAAATAGCCTAGAGATAAGTGTGTAGTGCCCTGTAGCACAAACTTTCACCGGCTCAGTCATGTGAGGACCAACACTTTCTGCCACTTAGGCCTATTACAATCTGGACAAATTGCTTACAAATTCAAAAAGAAAATGACATTCAAGGCAATAAATTAGCAATGGCATAGACATATCTTTGATTTACAGAACAATACCATCCTACAGACATCCACCAAACCCACCCCGTCTTTGATCCAACGTTTGTGTGTTATTGTTTACAATACTTATCAAAGAACATTTATTTCAACAGAAACTTTCCATTCTTTTTGAGGAAAAATCCTTTTTTATGAAATGAAGACAATGAAAGAGAAGTGTTTTTTTTCTCTCTTTTGCATACAATTTTACCGGACACTTTCCTACTGTGAAGAACAAAGACTAAGGATATGGTGTCAGGATGAAACAACAATGACAAAGCTACCAGCACTACCAGATTACCAAACCTGTTCCTGTATTTACTTATATTATGATTACATTTTATTATAGACAGCAGAATCTTTCAGATCAACATCATTTTTTGACAACAGTGCATAGGCTTATTTTTCATAGGCTTACTAATTAATTTGTCAGTTATGCCATAGTTGATCAGCATTGTTGGAGTAATAGAAATTATAAAAAATTATTATACATTATAAAAAAAATCTAAAAGGGAAATTATAGAAATTATAAAAAATAAGATTATTTAGTTTTGTCAACATCAAGATTGAAATATTTTTCAACCATTTATTCCTTGTAGTCTCTCAGTTAAAGAATACATCAAATTTGCATGCGTATTAATTATTAAGTATGCTTTAATAATTAAAACTATTTTTAAAACATATATGCATATTGTATATGGATATCTAGAAACACGCTCTCGGGATTGTCCAGGTTACAACGATTAAAAGTCGACGCATTTATGTAACTCCATTGAATACGTGCAGCCAATCGGGGCGTCCATTTCTAAGCATGCCTGTGTACAAATCACCATTCGAACAGCGGTAACCAAGCAACAGCCAATCAGAGCCGGGTTTAGAGAGTTTATATTAAGCGCTTTACTCCTCTGATGGCAGTTCTCTGAACGCACCTGACAGACTCAAAGACGATATAAGATCGACTAACAGAAGACATGAGGGCTTCTTTCAACATGACAAATTGGATGATACATTGTGGATTTTAAATTGTAATAATTTTCGTGCTTTTTTGTTAAGTGGATTTTAGGACTGCAATTTTACAAAACAACGAAAAGAAGAAAATAATTCTTCTGTAATAAAAAAAAGCATTTTTAACCTGCCACTATGGATTCTAATAAAAAGGTAATGTCATATTGCTTGCCTTATAATTCTAGTGTAGTGATATTTTGTCAGTAGTAGCCTACCTGAGGAATATAACTAGAGGGGAGAGAGTTTCAGGTAAAACATCCAAGAAAGCAAAATTAGATTTGTCTTATTCTGTCATTTAGGGAGGGAAAAGTTGTTGTTTTTTGATTAGTGACTCCAGTGGTCAAGAAAAAAAAATTATTATTTTGACTGACAGAACTGAAAACTCTTCAGCTCTCATTTATATTTTTGAGTTGAGGTTTGTATGCATCTGTATCTAGACAAATAGTGAAACTTTATCTATCTATCTATCTATCTACATATCTATTTGTCTGTCTGTCTATCCATCCATCCATCCGTCCATCCATCCATCCATCCATCCATCCATCCATCCATCCATCCATCCATCCATCCATCCATCCATCCATCCATCCATCCATCCATCCATCCATCCATCCATCCATCCATCCATCCATCCATCCATCCATCCATCCATCCATCCATCCATCCATCCATCCATCCATCCATCCATCCATCCATCCATCCATCCATCCATCCATCCGTCCATCCATCAAACAAGCCTATTTTTGTCTCCAGCATCAAAGGCCTCGTGTCATTGGTTTAAACCCTTAAGTAATGGAAATATGTGGTAAAACCTTCTAATAAGACCTCTCAGACCACAGCCTTACTCAGGGGTTTAGAGGAGAAACAGAGTAATTACATTTATCTTGTTTGCTAGGAAAGTAATGTGATGAAAGAGAGAAAGAGATAGTGGCTGAACAAAAAAGCGATCACAGCCTCTTCTGAATAGGAGAACCGGACAGCTGCAGCCAGGGTTAGTTAATGTCACAAAGGGAGTATAGACACAATACTTTGCATAATTCATATTTACACAATATTTACAGAATTAAAGAAAACCTATTTTGAGACACTTATCAATTTTGAAACACTTTAAGACACAAATCTGTTTCAAAATTGTAAAATTAATTTGTAACATTTAGAGTTTACATGGCATATTGATTCTCTTATTTAAAATATTCCAAAATTAGTGCTGTCAAATGATTAATCGCATCCAAAATAAAAGTTTTTGTTTCCATAATATATGTGTGTGTACTGTGTATATTTATTTTGTATATATAAATACACACACATGCATGTATATATTTAAGAAACATTTTATGTTTATATATTAAATATATTTATCTATAGTATAAATGATATGAATATAAAAATATACATGTAAATATTTTTTTTTAATATATACTGTACGCGCGTGTGTGTGTGTGTGCGCGTGTGTGTGTGTATATATACATAATAAATATACACAGTATATACACATTTTTATGTTTATATATTAAATATATTTATCTATAGTATAAATGATATGAATATAAAAATATACATGTAAATATTTTTTTTAAATATATACTGTACGCGCGTGTGTGTGTGTGTGTGTGTGTGTGTGTGTGTGCGTGTGTGTGTGTATATATACATAATAAATATACACAGTATATACACATTATGTAGACTAAACAAAAACTTTTATTTTGGATGAGATTAATCGTGATTAATCGTTTGACTGCACTATCCAAAATACTTGTTGTTGTTGTTGGATCCATCAGTGCTTTGTACTTGATTAATGTATATGCATATGCATTATAATGAACTAAGTTTTGTAGAACAATGACTTTTGGTTTATTATAACGTGTGCAAGAGCAGTGCTCTTAAATTGAGATTATTTAGAAAAAGTGCTGCTGTAAACCCTTTGAAGTCAAACCCCCTTTGATTCAGTGGATCAGTGGACCTTGCATTGCTTATTAATATTCGATATGTTCATTTCATCAGGAATGTTAAGCTTCTAAGGATTTGAGGCCAATGTTACTCAGTGAGCATTGCTAAATGCACATCAATTTATGTTTTTATTCATGCATTTTTTACAACTGTAATTAATTGCATGTACTGACCTGTGGTTACATAATATTTAACAAGGTTTAAGTGTTACATGTAAGCACACGTGCTGTGGTCAAGTCAGAGCTGCACAGAGCATGACAGCCAGTAGGCGCAATTGTCCCACAGCAAACCTGCCATAACAGTTAGTTTCTATCACAGGGAATGTTTGTTAAAACACAGCGTTTTCTGCAGTAGGCAGGGTGGCAGATTAAAACACTATTAAAAGGCTACTGATCTTTTTAACCTTCTTAAGATTGAGACTAACTAGTGTTTGCTACCTAGTGTATGACAAGTACAGTAGAGGATTCCTAGAATAATATTCTGGCCTATTCTCAAAACATTTAGTTTTTTTGGGATTTGCCTTTTTAGTACACACAGTTGTAGAGTTTTACTCCAGTCGAGATCAAACTCAGCTCTAAATATATACTAAAGTGTTATTTAGCGTAATAATGCTTAGGAGCACGTATTAAATCACATGCTGGGGTTAGCAGTATTTTAGTTCATCTGACCCTACGTGCTAGTGTGCACGATGAAGTCGTTGTCTTTGAAGGCATGTTGAGCCTGTTATGTAAAAGCCTGTGGTTGTTGGAATGGATTGGAGTGGATTGGAATAAGAGGCTGGAGTAGTCATGGTACGTGTGCGTGAGTTGGTTCAGGTGCTGCTAGATCTGTAATAGGATCATATTGATAATCAACAGGGTTTCCCTCAGCATCTCACATGTTGCCTGCATAGTAGGTTCACAGTTCTGTGTAATAAACTAAACCATTGTTCACATGGTGGTTAGGAGAAAAAAAAAGGATCAAAATAATTTGAACAGTTTAAGCTATTTCATGTATTTTTTGGCTTTAGCAAAGCTGCAAAAGGAATGCAAAGATCATATAGAACTGACTATTGTATTATGCATACTATTGTTATTATGCATACTATTGTTATTATGCAGAGTAAAACTGCACATTCAGTACACACCTTTTTGACTGTTGCCTGCATAGTAGGTTCACAGTTCTGTGTAATATACTAAACCATTGTTCACATGGTGGTTAGGAGAAAAAAAAAAGGATCAAAATAATTTGAACAGTTTAAGCTATTTCATGTCTTTTTTGGCTTTAGCAAAGCTGCAAAAGGAATGCAAAGATCATATAGAACTGACTATTGTATTATGCAGAGTAAAACTGCACATTCAGTACACACCTTTTTGACTCCCTTGCATGTATAAAACCCATCACTTTTATCAAAATTTCACCATCCAGTTAGGCTCATAACTCCTTCAAAAACAGCTAGAAACCTTGGAGTTGTGATTGATGATAAGCTGAATTTCCCAGACCACATTGTTAAAACTGCCCGGTCCTGAAGATCTGCTTTTTTGATTCTGTCCAGGCTGGACTATTGCAATACTCTCTTGGCAGGTCTTCCAGCCACTTCTATCAAACCTCTACAATTAATCTAAAATGCCTATTATTAAATTATTAATTATTTTTTTTTAAAAACTAGCAGCTTTCTATTTTTTCTGTTCTATCTACTTGTTTTTCTTTGTGTGTGTATGTGTGTGTGTGTGTTATTGCAATATTGCAATACTCTCTTGGCAGGTCTTCCAGCCACTTCTATCAAACCTCTACAATTAATCTAAAATGCCTATTATTAAATTATTAATTATTTTTTTTTAAAAACTAGCAGCTTTCTATTTTTTCTGTTCTATCTACTTGTTTTTCTTTGTGTGTGTATGTGTGTGTGTGTGTATAATATATATACTGTATATATATATACACCTTGCTACATGTACTGCGTTAGGCTAACCGAGACTTGCCATTTGCACTTATATATTGTAGCTCTTTTGTTAGTTTTGACTGCTTTTATTGTCCTCATTTGTAAGTTGCTTTGGATACAAGTGTCTGCTAAATGTAAATGTAATGTAAATGTATAAATAAATAATCAAGCTTACAAAATCTATTAGTATGTAAACACGTTTCCACCATGGGATAAAAAAAGAAACGTTTATCTCACAATTCTAACTTTTTTGTCTTGTAATTCTGACATTTTTCTCAGAATTGCAATATATAAACTCCAAGTTCTGACTTTTTCTCTCACAATTCTGAATACATATTTCAATTTTAAATTTATATCCAACAATTACTTTTTTTTTAAAGAAATTCAAATGTTACATCTCACAGTTCTGTCTTGTTTTCTCAGAATTCTGAGTTTACATTTCCCAATTCAGATTTTTTTCCCCCTCTGATTTCTGAGTTTATGTCTCAAAATTCAGTATTTCGGTTATTTTGTTTCTGCAACATAATTTTGTGAATTTATAGCTCACAATTCAGACTTTTCTTCTCAGAATAGCAAGTTTACATCTATTATATTTATACCTTTTTAATTCTTTTCATTCCGTGGCTGAAATGGGATTTCTATATTTTAGTAATATTCCACATGTCATATTATTAAATTCATACAGTCATTATCAGCAAAATGCTCCCGCATTTCAGATTTTGCTATAAACATCAATATTCTCTATATTGTTCCTTAAAAATCAGGACTAAATGGTTAATCATGAACCATATTAAAATATTAAAATATATTAAAAAAATATACAAATACATAAATATGTTGTTCTTCTACCCTTACAGCAGTTGACGCTTCAGCTGATGATGGCTGTTGGGACTGCTGTGATCGGCTCCTTGCAGTTTGGCTACAACACAGGAGTCATCAATGCCCCTCAGAAGGTGAACAATTTTAGACATATAACAGACATGACATGATTTGTCATATAAGCACTTAAGCATCAGCATATTACTAATTGACAAATTGATATATGGGTATTGTTGATGTTTGTATGTTAGTGTTATTGTGTAATGCATCTCATTTTAGATTAGCTGTGTAAACTATGCTGTATTAATCCTCCTTCTTGTGTAGCCTTTTAAGATATGCTGATTCACACATGCAGAGCATTCTAATAATAGACCAGCACTACTGAAACTCTTCAGAAGAGATTCTTATAACAGCCTTTCCTACTGTCCATAAACGGGCAAGTACAAAGTTTGACAAATAGATTTCTATTTCAAGGCTACTGTTATGTGCATCAAGTAATAAAAAAGGTATTAGACTTGCCTGTAGTTTGCAACAAATATGTTTTTTTTTTTTACAATGAATGAATAAATGACCTTGACCTCTTAATACATCACATCAGCTAAGGGTTCTGATAAATCTCACATATGCTTGAGAAAACTCTATATATAGAGTGCAAATCATGTGCCATAGTTTAGCGATAGTCTTTTATAAAGAGAGAAAGTCAAAAGTCAAGGACGCATAAGGACTTCATTACTGTGAAATAATACTGTGATATTAAGATTATTAGTAAATTGTTGGTGAGCATTTTTTATATACATTTCAAATGTTTGGGATTTTTAAAATTGTTTTTGAAAGAAATCTTTATTGTCGCTTTTGACCAGTTTAATGCATCCTTGCTAAATAAAATGTATTTCATTTTTTTTAAAATATATATCTATAAATCTGACCCCAAACTTTTGAATGGTAGTTCACATGTTCAGTGTAATAGCATGCAGGAACTGTTTATGAGTGAAGAGTTTTGAATATTCTTTTAATGTTATTTCTTTCTTGTTTCATATTTATTGAGGAAGAAACTGTTGAATCACAACAATATTGTTTGCAGTTTTGTTAATTAAGCAGCTTCTTATGCAATCTGTTTTGACACTGTAGTCAGCATGGAGTACTGCTCCCTCTGCTGGCGTTATGTAGAACTGCTGCAGCAAATGACTGTTGACTTACTGTACAATATAATTAAATCACAATTTATTTAATAATAGTGTGTTAATGATTGTTTTTTTAAAGAAAATTTCGAATTGAAATTAAATATCAAATAAACACCCTCCCTAATGATTTTCATAGAGTATGTTCTTTTCTCTCATAGACCATCGAGGCTTTCTACAATGAGACGTGGTATAAGAGGTACTCAGAGTACATACCGTCGACCACTCTAACTACACTCTGGTCCGTATCAGTGGCCATATTTTCTGTCGGTGGCATTTTCGGCTCCTTCTCAGTTGGGCTGTTTCTAAACCGCTTTGGCAGGTAACTTAACCAACCAATTCAGAACTTTACAAATACTTAATTTTTATCCTGAATTCATGAATTCATGTGTCACATTCTCTGGTAACACTTTATAATAAGGTTCCATTAGTTAATGTTAGTTAATGTATTAACTAACATGAACAAACAATGAACAATACATTTATTACAGTATTTATTAATCTTTGTTAATGTTAGTTGTTCATAGTTAGTTCATGTAAAATTAACATAAACTAATATTAATAAATGCTACAGAAGTATTGTTCATGCTTAGTTCATGTTAACTAAAGTAGTTAACTAATGTTAACGAATGAACCTTATTGTAAAGTGTTACCCATTCTCTTTCGGATCTTTTAACAGGAGGAACTCAATGCTCATTGTTAATGTTCTGGCCTTCATCGCTGCTGCTTTAATGGGCTTTTCCAAGCTGGCTGAATCCTGGGAGATGCTTATTATCGGACGCTTCATTGTAGGCCTTTACTCTGGCCTGTCCACAGGCTTTGTACCAATGTATGTAGGAGAAATCGCCCCAACTTCATTACGTGGGGCACTGGGCACACTTCATCAGCTTGGCATTGTCATTGGCATCCTCATAGCACAGGTCAATTAATATGTTATCTTTTTTATGAGACCACTTTTAGTAATCATTAAGACTTTTACATTGCATAGATAGATGTGACCTTTGTGTTTTTTGTGTATTTCATTAGAAACACTCCTGCTTTGTTCTGTAGATCTTTGGTATTAAAGAAATCATGGGGACCCCTACAATGTGGCCTTTCCTACTTGGCTTTACTTTCATCCCAGCCATAGTCCAGTGTGCCCTGCTGCCCTTCTGCCCCGAGAGCCCGCGCTACCTTCTCATCAACCAGAACGAGGAGGCCAAAGCTAAGAGTGGTGAGTTTTTAATACTCAATTTAAGATGTTGCCTAGGGTTTCATCAGTCAGCCTAACTAACTAATTTCCACAGTGCTGAAGAAGCTCCGTGGCACTGAAGATGTGGCTGCAGACATGCAGGAGATGAGGGACGAGAGCAGGCAGATGATGAGGGAGAAGAAGGTCACCATGCCTGAGCTCTTCCGCTCATCGCTCTACCGCCAGCCCATCTTCATTGCCATCATGCTGCAGCTCTCCCAGCAATTCTCCGGTATAAATGCTGTACGTTTTCTTTATTTCTTTACCTAGCATTTATCAGCCGATCCATCAATATACTTTTCCATCAAATTCTATTGCTTGTTGTATTAGAATACCAGCATGGCACCAATATGCCATGAATTATTTATTTGTGAAACTTTCGTATATTCTAAATTCATTACATGTAAAGTAAAACATTGCAAAAGTTTTTTTTTTTTTTTAATTTTGATGATTACAGCTTGCAGCTCATGAAAGTCAAAAATCCAGTATCTCAAAATGTTAGAATATTTACATTTGAGTTTCATTAAATTACTATCCCTACAGTATAAATTCCAGGTATCTCCTGTTCTTTGAAACCACAGACTGAAGCTGGAGTCAGTGCATCAAGAGTCACCACGCTCAGATGTCTTCAGGAAAAGGGCTACCAAGCCATTTCTGAAACAGAACGTCAGAAGCATCTTACCTGGGCTAAGGAGAAAAAGAACTGGGCTGTTGCTCAGTGCTCCAAAGTCCTCTTTTCAGATAAAAGTAAATTTTGCATTTCATTTGAAAATCAAGGTCTGGAGTCTGGAGGAAGACTGGAGAGGCACAGAATCCAAACTGCTTGAAGTCCCGTGTGAAGTTTCCGAAGTCAGTGATGATTTGGGGTGCCGTGACGTCTGCTGGTATTGGTCCATTGTTTTATATCAAGTCCAAAGCAGAACACTTTATGCTTCCATCTGCTGACAAGCTTTATAGAGATGCTGATTTCCTTTTCCAGCAGGACTTTAGCACCTGCCCACAGTGCCAAAACCACATTTTGTTTGCTGTGGTTTGCTGACCATGATATTACTGTGCTTGTTTGGCCAGCCAACATGCCTGACCTGAACCCCATATGGAATCTATGGGATATTTTCAAGAGACAGATGAGAAACAGTCGATCCAACAATACAGACGAGCTGTAGTGCTTCTGCAGTGCCACAGGCTGATCGCTTCCATGCCACTCCTCACTGATGCTGTCATTTGTGCTAGAGGAGTACCGACCAAGTATTGAGTGCAGAAATGAACATACTTTAAAGAACTTGAACTTTTCGGTTTTGCAAATCCTTTTTTGATTGATCTTAGGAAATATTGTAATATTTTGAGATACTGGATTTTTGACTTTCATGAGCTGTAAGCTCTAATCATTCAAATTAAAACAAAAAAAACTTTTGAAATGTTTTACTTTACATGTAATGAATCTAGACTACATGAAAGTTTCACTTTTTGAAATAAGTTACATATATATATATATATATATATATATATATATATATATATATATATATATTTACACCCACTACCGGTAAAAAATTAGGAATAATTAAGATTTTTTTTTTTTGAACGTGCTATTAGAATAATTTCTGAAGGATGAACTGAAGACTGAAGTAATGGCTGCTGAAAATTCAGCTTTGCCATCACAGTAATAAATGACATTTTAATATACAGTATATTTTAATTGAAAATATTTATTTTAAATTGTAAAAAAGTCACAATATTACTGTTTTACTGAATATTTTATCAAATAAATATAGCCTTGGTGAGCATAAGAGGCTTCTTTCAAAAATCATTAAAAAAATCATAATTATTCCAAACTTTTGACAGGCAGTGTTCATAATTAAAACTACTACTACTGCTACTAATATTACTAATAATAAAAGTTTTGTTTTAAATGATGCTTTATGGTTTGATTTCGCTTTTTTATTTAATTTTTTCACATTGGTGAGTGTAAATGAGAAAACGGTTGTTTTGTGATCTTCAAAAACTGGATAAAGCATGTGTCATATGGCTGTAACAGCAAGGGTAAATTTATGGACAATTTCATAAACTTTTTAATGATATGTTTATTAACATTATTATTAACTAATTTGCCCCGGTTAATATAAATAAATGTATTACAAAGCTAGTTAGTTGGCCATTGGTGCACCTATTAATGTTCAGCTATAGCTGTCATGTCAGTGATTTGAATGTTAAGTGCATGTAATTGTGTTTTTCAGGTTTTTTATTACTCCACTGGTATATTTGAGAAAGCAGGAGTGTCTGAGCCGGTCTATGCCACCATTGGTGCTGGAGTTGTGAACACAGCATTCACAGTTGTGTCGGTAAGTTAGTACGAACATATGTTTTGTGATTTTGTCCTTTGATGAGGTGCATTACAGTGTTTTGGATGAAAATGCTTGTATCTCTCTCTAATTAAGCTGTTCATAGTGGAGCGAGCTGGTCGAAGATCACTACATCTTATTGGGCTGATGGGAATGGCTGTCTCTTCTGTTCTCATGACCATAGCTATGGCGTTACTAGTATGTATCTGCTTACATTGATGTACTTAATTTCTGTTAGTGTTCATGTGTAAACTGGTGTTTAATGGTGTTTATTCATTAATTGTCCTTTGCAGGATCAAGTGAAATGGATGTCATATGTCAGCATCGTCGCCATCTTCAGTTTTGTGGCATTTTTCGAGATTGGACCAGGCCCAATCCCATGGTTCATTGTGGCAGAACTCTTCAGTCAAGGTCCCCGGCCTTCTGCCATCGCTGTTGCTGGTTTCTCCAACTGGTTTGCCAACTTCTTGGTGGGAATGAGCTTCCAGTATGTTGAGGTATGGAAACATTACATAACACGGACATAACACAGTTATAGTATTTATTTTCTTGTTGTTCTCACATTTCTTTAAATACTCATAGTTTTTTCTGTTGATAGGAACTGACAGGGCCGTACGTTTTCATCATCTTCACTGTCCTCCTGCTGATATTCTTTGTCTTCACCTACTTCAAAGTTCCTGAGACCAAAGGGCGGACATTTGAAGAGATCTCTGCGGGCTTCCGCTCAGGGTCAGAGAAATATACCCGAGATGATCTGAACACATTGGGGGCAGATTCCCAGCTCTGAGCTCAGTGCCACGTTTATACAGTAATGCTGTAGACTAACCAATTGAGTGTCCTCGGCTATAGCACAGTGGGTATGTTCACAATGGCAAACTATCATATTACTCCTACTAGGAAGGCTGCACTAGTGTTGTCACGATACTGGAATTTCTAACCTTGATACGATATTCAATACCATTTTCGATACCACAGGGAAAAACGGGAACAACATTAAGGGCATAACATTTTTGATTTCTATTAAATGATAAATATGACAAGGCTAGAACTTGACAATGAGGAATATTTTTACAATAATGAAAACTTCTTGAGGTGGTAAAACACTGAAAAAAAATTATATATTTTCTGCCTCGTTCGAAGCCAAATCAGATCACAAAATTATTTCAAACACTCGACTGATGTTGTGAAGCAAGTTTAGAGTTGGTATCGGTGTATCAGTACTACGGAGAAAGAGTTTTGAAACCGTCTATGATCAAAACTGTTTCAGATATTTCAGTATCGATACATATAAAAAAAATTGACCTTTTTGACAGCGCTAGTATGCAGATTTTCTGATTGCATTGAATACTCTTATGACTTACTACATTTGCCAAACTGTGCAATAATTTGACCAGTACACTGCTTCTCAATAATTACTCATTATTTCACTGGACTGACAAAAGTGTGAATATTTGTACACAGAATTGTATTAAACATTGCAAAATTGCTATATTTATTTCTGAAATCGTAACCAGACACCTCTCTCTAATGTAAAATATGCGACATTGTGATAACAGTGTACCATACTACAGTTTAAACCTATTTTTAGATACATTACTTATTACATACTGTGCTATTATTTTTTACATACTATATTGTTACAATAATATGTAGTATACAGTATGGTGTAGCATGCAGTGTGCAGTATTTTAGTATTCCATTCTGAACATTCCCACTGTCTTCAGCAAACAAACAGTAGCACAGAAAGTTCTGCATTTTTCCTCAAACAAACTGTTTTTTTTTAATTGTTTGTTTCCACATTCTGAAATAGAGAATAGTATCTAAAAATAATAATCACAATTTCAGCATGTTTAAATGCATATGAATAAGATTATTGTACATTAGTGTACTATTAGGTCATTTGAATGATAACAATTCGCACAATTCAACTTAAATATATTGTTTTTTAGACTAGAACTTTTAACAGTGTTTGCTAGTGTCCAGTCAACACATCATGAGTTCTCATATAATATGTCTCCTGATGTTATATTAGGTATAATGATGTCAGAAATGATTATGGTGTCAGATTATGATATATGTTTATCAATACTTGAACTGTAGCTTTACCAAGGAGTGGCAAGATTAATTAACAAAAAGAATACAAACGCAAATCAATTATTTACAATTATACAGCAGTCCTTCTGCTTTTCATAAGTGTGAATTAGGGTCTCCAATACGATGAGGTTTAATATCTTTCCAAATTGGACCAATCTTATTTTGACCTCCAGCAAATTAACTCAACTAATATGTTTGTTATACTATAATATAAAAAAATATATATTTTAGATTTGTGCATAATGTTTGATGTTTGTGTGATGATGAGAATTTAGTATATTGTTCATTTTGCAAAAGTGCAATAATTGTTCACATCCTGTTTATTTATTCCACATATTGCTAGGCATTATGAATGAAACAGGCTTCTAATATTTCTTATGTAAAAAAAAAATGTTTATGTATAAGAGTGTTTTCACTTAACATGGCATAGACTGACATAGAGCCATTCATCCAGAGGATGTAAATAGGTTCAGGTTTACTAAAGCATTTTTTTTTTACTAGATGTGCTCAGTATTTTGAATTTTTTTAACTTCCTAAAAGATGAGATATGGTTTTGTTCAGTATGCCACAGAAATTGTATTAGAAATCCAACAAAAAATGTGCCAAGACATGTCCTTGCTGGGTATCCTACTTTTTTCTAAATAATCAATTTATAGTTGCAAATAAATAAAATAAACAAAACTGCAACAGAGGAACATGTGTCATTTTTGTTTAGTTTCTGTTTCTGGATCACTGCTTAGCAGAAATGTCACATAAAGGTGTTTAAAATACTGAAATGCATAAAGCCACAATTAATCTCAACACCAAAAGATGACAGTATTTCTCTCTACAATAGTACTGGCTATCCACTGTCTGATGTATGAGATACATTTTTGGTTACCATTGACTTCCATTATTGACAAAAAATTAAGACATTTCTCAAAATATTATGAAAATATTCTCAAAAGTTTATGTTCAGCAGAAAAGCGAAAGTCATACACCCTTACGAAAATTAACAATGGTTTTATTATAGTGTATAGTATAGTAACCATTTACTTATTTTGGCGTGTTGATTGCCATTTGTAGAACCACAGTTTTATTCCAAATACTATGGTTAAACTATGGCTAGTGTAGAAAAAATCTGCGTTTTCAAACGTTTTATTAATTACCACAAATTATTAGTCAAAGTTCGCTAAACGTAGGCTAGGCTATAAACTGAATTTGTATCACTGTCAGGTATCAGACGCTACACTGACTCAAAAATATTGTACTTATTGTTTTTAATAATTTTCTAGTTTTGTTCTTCACAAATAAAAATCGCATTGTGATACACCTGTAATAAATAAAGAATAGGCCTACCACAAAGTGGCACTAATGTGACTATACTTTACATTATGTGAGCAAAATTTGGCACAGCATAATATTCTACAGCTAGTTGTGTTAAAGGAAAAGTTCGCCCCAAAAAAGAAATTTTGTTGGAAATTACTCACCCACGGGACATCCAAGATGCTGCTTGCACCAACGGATCTTCTGCAATCAATGGGTGCAGATAGAATGAGAGTTCAAACAGCTGATAAAAACATCACAATATAAATTTGTAAGCACATTTTCAGCAAATTTTCATTTTTGGATGAGCTGTTCCTTTAATGTACAACCCATAATGCAGGAAAGCATCTCAACAGTGATCCTCCATCTTTTGATGGCAGAAAACGTGCATTTGGACCTAGTTACAGTTTAGTGGCCCGTCTGTCGATTGCCAGCAAAATCCTCTTACTGTAATGGACAGAGCCAGAGACATAATGACTGTCATTATAACAGCACCACAGGGTGTCTTGTGATTTTGTCATAAAGCAACAGATTGCAGCATCTTGCCAGAATAAATGATGGGTTTTTATATGTGTTGATGGGATATCAACAATTGTAGCGGCAACAAAAATACTGTAGCACTCAACACCGGCTTTAAAATTTACACTACAAAATCCAATAGTTGAATTTCCTCAGGGATAAAAATCAATGAGAAACAGAAAAACTACTGTCCATTCTATGTCATATTAATGACAAAACAAAGCATAAAATGCAGACACTGCAGCTGGAATGCTGACATAGTGTGCATAACCTGAATTGATTTTTCAAAATTAAAAAAGGGAAGAAGAAATGCATTAGTTTGCATGTGCAGTCATGCAGTCACAGTCTCATGAAGAGATTATTAATTGCTTTCTCTCTCTCCAGCTCCTGTTCTCATTTTCAGCTCTCCTCCATTTCGAAGCAGTGTCGTAACCAAACTCCCACCACATTACAGTTTCATAGCACCGGAAAATATTTTCCGAAAACCCTTTTTAAGATTAAAGAGGAACAAACAAACAAAATCCACTAATTTACCTTAAGTAAAGGCTATGCCTTGAGGCAGAACTAGGCCACAGAATGCATTGCGTTGTGTATAATGAATCTAGCGAGAGAGTTGCGGTATGACTTCACTTCACAGTCCACTAATTAAATTTGTTCCTTAGTTGGATGTACAGCTAGAGACATTGTCCTAGTTTTAATGAGAGCCTGATCTTTTCACCCTCTATAGGCCTACATTTCACATTTATCCTATGATGCACAAACCATAAAATCTAAGAGAGAACATGGAGCCTGAATCGTGAATTGCATTGTGCTTTATATTACAGCATTTTCTCAGTTTTCTTGCTCCAATGTGTAGTTTTATGTATTATTTATTTTTTGAATGTATGATTTTTTGTGAATTAATTTGTGAATTAAAAGTACTTTGGTATCATCCAATGTATTATGTCTTAACAGTTACATAAACAGAATGTGGAAAAACAAGGCGTGACAAATTAAATTAAATACAAATTATTTTTTCATAATATTAGTATGTTGCTATGTTTGTTAGAGATTTAATGCTGGATTTAAGTGCTAGGCCGCTGACTAGTGATATGAATGATAGACATTAAAGGGCTTTTTTGTGTAAGTGCTTTTCTACAAAATATTATTCGGTCATGTGAAATTCCCAGAAACCACTTCAGATTGCACTTCATCTAACGCCAGAATTTGATTGCTTCTTGATTTAGATAAATAATATCATATGCCATCTACTAATCTTCATGTGACATCTGGATCAAGATGATCATTTGGATAATCATACTAATCATCATTTGCATCAAGATGGAATTATTGAAATTATATTGATATTATGAAAAATGTTTTCATATGGGTATTTAATTAATATTTTTAGACTGAAGATTGAAGTGTTTTGATATATTGGTGTTTATAGTGTCATTAGAATTTTACTACAAAACTAAAATACAAATACAAAATTGTTTAGTGAGTCAAATAAGATTAAAACTGCTTTGTTTTAGGCACAATGACTGACTTGAAACAGATCAGTGGAGTATTGTGGTTGCTTTATGCAGTCTCTCAGAAAGTGTAATTTATTCTGATAGAGCACCAAGTTGTTAAAATCAAACTGGAGCCATGACTTACAGACAAACAGCTTTCTTTGCTGAAGATAACTTTGATCATTTTACTCTGAGAGCTTTATTTGCATATGAAGAGAAGTTGCATCTTCACAGAGCTGGTGGGGCACACTTTCTTTCGACCGGATGCCTTTTCAGTTGTTCTTTATATGGATTCCAGATTCCAGATATTTATTTTTTGGTGTGTGCGTGCACGTATGTGGTTGAGCATTTAAATATTTCATGGTGTTTTCAATATTTATGAAACCGCAAGAACAGTGTGTGCTTCCCGCTCTGAATTTCAGCTCAAGGAATTCATGCTAATTTGCTTTTGTTTATGTAATCATTGTCTATCCAGCTGTTCATGTCATTCACTGTGTGAATTTATTCTCTATGATTTCACCCTTAACAACAAAAGCTCTGCAGAACAGCAAAATGAACATTGCAGGAATGCAAAAACACTGCAGTGTGAAAAATTCAAAATGTGCTTAAATAACTGAAATGACACAAAGAGACAGTGGAGAAACACAGAAGAAGCAAAGGATATATATATATATATATATATATACATATATACTGTATATACTGTATATACTGCATATATATATATATATTTTTTAATATATATATATATAATTTTATTTATAAAATTACAAAATGGATGGAAATAATGTAAAAGGACGAACAGAGTAATGAAAAGAAACAAAACAGGAAGATATACCTAATCCCAAATATATTATATATCTGCTACATTATCTATTTAATGACTAATGAACCAGTTGTGGTGCAAATAAAATCACTCCTTCATTTCTAGCATCAATAATTCATAGTGCAAGTGCCTTTTCCATCAAATATACATCAAAATAGGCCAGCCTGTCTTGGATTGCTTCCTCCCAGGGAGATCTGGGATGAGGATGAATGATGCCTAAAGTTTAGAGAGTAGGAATGCTTAGAACAGCCTGCAGTAAATACAGAAAAACTCCTCAGTTCTTTATGCATGCATACAGAGCCAAATAAAGTCCGATTTGTTGATCTCGCACAGTTGCAATTGTTCAGGAAGACAGCCTTGACACTGATGGCCCTGTTATTATTTCCTGATAATTACAGGGTACGGTTAAAAAAAAAGAAAAACAAGGTGACTTTCCAACTCTCTGGATGGCAACAATTATGAGAGCAATTTGTATCACGTCCTCCAGTCCCTGCCATGCAACAAAGAGCTTTGACATTATTGTCTGGTACTCCTCCGCTTCTCTTGCGGCTCCAACGAGGAAAGAAGCTCTGAATTTCATTAAGTCAAAGATAATGACTATGTATAAGATCGGTTCAGGGCATGAGAGGTGTGATTAACTTTCTCTCTCCAAATACTGAGCCGTAGGACCGGGCTGAAGGAACTGGAGGAGGGCCCATGTGTTCGAAGGTCTGGTTGTTCTCTGTTGTGGGCTGAAAAGCGCTCCTGAGGGGCCGTCTTTGATGTGTGTTGTGGACGTCAGTGAGTCAGCCAGGGCTGATGTGGAGGGATTAGCATTGAGATAAACACATGAAAAAAATCAATGACTTTCACTGTGCAAGCCCATCTACTGCTGTGGGTGGAGTGGAACTGTTATATTGGTTCAATGCAGAAGCGTGTCTCCCACATGTCCCCTCAGATTTCAGAGCCAAGTGGATTTTAGTTCAGTGATGCACCTTATGATTACAAATAGTGAAAAAATGCATTTATTCACCCTCATGTTGTTTCACAACCGCGTGA